GGAGGAAGAGTCAGAAGATAATTCAGTGGTCAAGGTTCTTGTGGAGACAGAAAGAAGATGGCATCACAGAACAGGAATTTTCTTGGCCTGGAAGTACCATCTTCTTTCTGTCTACCTTTTAACTTCCTCTGCTCGCTTCTTTATCCATCCTCCCCTGTCCACCGCCAGCCTCATCCTCTGATCGCTTCATTGCACTCCCATGGAGCTCTCCGTTCCCTGCCCGGTGTTTCTCCCGAGTGCAGCATGTCCTTCCAGGGGTGCCTCATGCCACCATACTGTGATGCTGGTTTGCCACTCCATCTCCTCTAGCAGAAGGCGAGTTCTTCCAGCATCTATTGCCCATATCTTTCCCCATGGATCCTGGCAGACAGGAGGTGCTCAGTTAAATTCGCTGCCCTCCCTGGACCGCAGCCTACCTGGGCAGTTCAGAGCTCCAGAACACTTGGAGCTCCCTCACTCAGGATTGCTTCTCCCATTTCAAAGAGAATAACTTGTGTCTATGAAGTAAAAGCACCTTATCTACTCTTCTGGAATAGTCTAGCAATACGTGTTCTCTTAGAATACTAGTATACTTAATCCCTCACACTTACAGTTTTTTCTCAGTTGAGCTCAAGGTCCTGAGTTCCCTACCCTCGCTGTGCAGGACCTGGCAGTCAACCCAGCACTGGATGTGGTTGGGGGCAGACAGGTCACTGCTAATGTGTGAAGATGACATGCCAGGGCATGGCAAGAACAGATCAGCGAGCAGCAGGGTGCGCTGGACAGCAGATGGAGCCAGTGGGAGAATTCAGGGGCAGGTGATACCCAGACGTACAGCGAAGTGGTGGAGTTACAAGAAAGTCTCAACCCCTAGGCCCAGATACAGGATTTTATGTCTCTTCCAGGGAGACAGACAAGAGAAAGGTTAGTACCGAGTGTAGAGAGAAGGCGTTCAGGGCATGTCAGAGCTCAGGCACAAGGACTGTAGTCACAGGACACGGCCAGACTCTGCAGGCCCGAGGCTGTGTCCTCTGGGGTTGGAGTCTCCTGCCTCAGCCGAGCTTCCGTTCCAGAGTCGATTCTGTGGCTGATCTGCAAGTGAGGATCAGGTGGATGCACTGTGGACAGAAAAGGGCTGACAGGGCAGGGGAAGGGAGGGAATGGCCAGTACATCATGGGAAAAGAGCGAAGGTCGAGTGGTAAATGGCACAAGGACATCGCTGCTGTGAGTACCCGTGCCTCAGCCTGGGCCTGCTTCCAGGTGGGGAGTTGGATGAGCGCCAGGCACTCCTAGAAGTACCATGCCCCGTCCAGACCTGCTGCTGTTGTGTGGCAGAAAACTCCTCCCCCGTGCCCTTGGGAAGATCTTTTCTTCAGAAAGACCTGCCTCCCATAGTCCTCTCATTAGAACCTTTTGGATTGCTAAGAAATATACAAAAGACACACAGTGGAAAAAAGCAACATTAGTCTAAGTTGCTTCGGGTATATAATCAGATTTCTTTTTCTCAATAGCTTGGGTGAGCTAAATCTCAGTGCAGTGGCTGGGGAAAGGGAGGGGGATGTGGTACTTTGGAGCATGAAGAACCTGGAGAAGGGCGGGCTTCTAAGAGGCTCTACAGGGGCAAAGCCCTCCCTTGGGAGCCGGGAGCTGGAGGCCCAGGAGCCGGGCTGCAAAAGCCATATGCTCAGGCTGGGTGTCCACCCACCGTTTCTTGGCTTCAAGCTCACTCCTTGGTACTTTGCTACGTGGTGTCAGCGCTGGGATCTGCAACCCATAGTCCTCACCTTCGGCTGCCAGCTGGCCATTGCCAGTGGAAGGCACTGGAGAGAGCCTGGGAGGAGGGGAGGGAGAAGAGACTGCCTTCCTCTCCAGCAACAGGTGGCGGCTCCTGTTCCAGCCTCCAGCTGCTCTTGGCCTCCCCACGTCAGCCACACCACACACACGCACTGCAGAAGTGCCAGCGTCAGCGCCAGCTGGGGTGGCAGGTGAGAGGCTGCCCTGCCAGCTTCTGGGTTCTGGCAGCTCACCTCTTCCTTTCTGCCCCTCAGGCTAAAGAATAGAACTTGCACTTGCTAATCTCTGGGTTATCTCGGCAGCCCTCGCACGCTTTTTCAGCTTCCAGCATCTCTGTAAACATTTCCTGCTATTAAACATTGAAAAATCTACTGTGGTTTTTTTTTTCTAAATGGCCCCTGACTGTGTACATTATTGTATTTATTTATCCATGTATGTGTGTACAGTCATGCCTCGCTTACCGATGGGGATGCATTCTGGGAATGCGTCGCTTACACTTGAATTCGTCATCACCTGATTTTGTCGTCACGTGAACATCACAGAGTGTACTCACACAGACTTAGATGGTGCAGCCTACGACACACCTAGGCTACCTGGTAGAGCCTGCTGCTCCGAGGCTGCAAACATGTATAGCATGCTGTGACGCTAAATACTGTAGGCACTTCTGACGTAGCAGCAAGTATTTGTGTGTCTAAATATGTCCAAACGGAGAAAAGGCACAGTAAAAATGCAGTATAAGAGATAAAAAATAGTGCACCTGTAGAGGACACTTACCACGAATGGAGCTTGCAGGACTGGAAGTTGCTCTGGGTGAGTCAGTGAGTGAGCGGTGAGTGCACGTGAAGCACGAGGACATTACCGTGCCCTACTGCAGACTTTAGAAACACTGTATATACATAGGCTACATTAAATTTATAAAAAAATTTTTCTTTCTTCAATAATAAATTAACCTTAGCTTACTATAACTTTTTTACTTTATAAACCTTTTAATTTTTAAAAAACTTTTTGACTCTTGTAATAGTGCTTAATTTAAAACACAAACATGTTGTATAGGTGTACAAAAATATTTTTTATATCTTTATTCTATAAGCTTTTTTCTACTTTAACTACTTTAAAAGTTTTTATTTTATTTTTAACTTTTTAAACATTTTTGTTAAAAACTAAGACAGAAACACACACATTAGCCTAGGCCTACACAGGGTCCGGGTCATCAATATCACTGTCTTCCACCTCTACATCTGTCCCACTGGAAGGTCTTCAGGGACTGTAACACACATGGAGCTGTCATCTCCTGTGATAACCATGCCTTCTTCTGGAATACCCCCGAAGGACCTGCCTGAGGCTGTTTTACAGTTAACCTTTTTTCTTTTAACAAGTAGAAGGAGTGCACTTTAAAGTAATGATAAAAAATATAATACAGTAAAGACATCAACCACTAACATCATCATTTATTATCATTTCCAAGTATTACGTACTGTACATAATTGTATGTGCTATACTCTTACACGACTGGCAGCACAGTGGGCTTGTTCACACCAGCATCACCACAAACGTGAGTAATGTGTTGTGCTATGGTGTTAGGACAGCTATAATATCACCAGGTGATAGGAATTTTTCAGCTCTGTTATAATCTTATGGGGCCACTGTTGTATATATGGTTCATTGTTGACTTATACAGCATATGGCTGTATTATACAGCATATGGCTGTATTTATTTATACGTGATGAATGTCTAAAAAAAAAAGTCAGAAGAGATTTTAAACAAAAACACAGGAGTATGACCGAAAATCACTAACACAAGAGGAAAAGGGAAAAAAGTAATCTGGAAAAGAAAATGTTAAGAATTTTAAGCTGAGAAAAAAAATGTATATCTTTATACAGCTTTTCCGTTTTTTTACTTGGTGAAGAGAGGGAAATCTTACCAAGAACATGGTTTAGTATACACGGAGTTGTATTTCCAAAGCTTTTGCAGAAGTTTTGAGCCGCAGAGAAGGAAAGCCCAGAAGTTGGTCCTATGTTCAGCAGAGCATCGCAGATAATTTTCACACCGCAGAGAAAGACCTGGAGCTTAGTCACACAGGGAATGGATTGCCTATAACTTTGCATCAATGATTAGCAAGAATTTTGGAGACTATCTAGAGAGAAACTAACTAAGATGAAGCAGAAAGGGCCTAAGGAGGTGTATTTTAGAATAATTACATCTAACATTGACTTAATTAGAACTATAAATTATAACCATAAAAGCAATAGAAATGTAAAAGTAATGCAGGCTTATCATAAATTGCTTACTATATACAAGCAATTTAAAAGTATATAGAGTCAAAACTGTTCCCCTTAAGCCCTCTCAACCATATCATTATTCAAAGAGATTGGACCAACTTACTAGCTTTCTTTTTTCACTTAATTCATCCTTCAAATGGCTAAATAGTATTCCTTATTATGGATGTAACAATTAATTATACTGTAATTAATATTTTCAAAATGATGCACATTTAGGTTGTTTTCAATTTTTTATCATAAAAAAACGATGTCCTGTTGACTTATCTACTTTGTCCAAGAGCAAGTAATTCTGTAGGAGAGACTTCTTGAAAGGGAATTGCTAGACGAGAGAAGTAGGCATATTTAAATGCTCACACTGGCACATTGCCCCAAGCAGTGTTCTGTGAACCCTCCCATCAGAGGAGTGGGAGAATGGGTGCTTCTTCACATCCCCAGAGTGGATGTGATGAATCTTTAAAAATGCTCTCCAGTGTGATTGGCAAATCGGGGCACCTCTTGGACATCTGTTGATATATTCATTAGCCAATTGTGTTCCCCTTTGCTATAAATTACTTATTAAATACCTTTTGCTTCTCCTTTCTGTTGGGTTGCTCGTTTCTCTTACCAATATGTAGAAATTCTCACCCACACCACGAATCTCTTGCTTGCCGTATGTGTCGTGCACATTTTTGGCTCGTAGCTTCGTCTCCGTACACAGCTGGGAAGATGTGAGCTGCTGCTGCAGCCCTGGTTTTGGGATAGAGAGACAGCTCTTCACAGAGAAGGCAGCCAAGGTAAAGAAAAACAGACGAACAGTGGAGAGAGAGTCACCTCTGTGGTGAGCAGTGATGCATTGAAGAAAAAGCACATGATTTGGAGCCAAAAGGCATAGAGTTCATTTCTTGCTAACTAAGCAACCATGGGCAAATCGTCTAACTCTCCGAGCCTCAGTTTCGTCTATAAAAGGAATCGAGGAATGACATTTGCTTCATACAAGGTTGCCATGGGGAATAAATGAGTCAATTCATGTAAAGGACTTGCTTCAGGGCCTGACACTCCATCAGTGTTTGAGCAGTGAACGGTTTATGGTGCGAAGCCTGTAGAATCCTACAGATGCCTTCTGGCAGTTTTAAAGGGCTCTGAACACGTACGTTGATGTTACTTCGACAGGATTATCCGGTTCTCACAACGCAGTGTGAGGTCTGTGAAACATTGGAGCGCTCGCTCAGTTCCTACTTTGGAGACTGGAATTCTCTCAGAGTTCAGGCCACCTCCCACTTCCATTGATTAGCGGATGACTAGGGCCGGAGCGGGGAGACTGACTCAGGAGTAGGGAAGGTGGTGGGGACAGCCCGAGTGCAGGACTGTGACAGGGAAAGGCGGGCTTCTTCCTCGCTATGGCTGAAACAAAGGCACTTTTGATGCTGGAAAACTTCATAGACGGAAAGTTTTTGCCTTGTCACTCATACATAGATTCTTATGACCCGTCTACAGGGGAGGTGTATTGCAGAGTGCCGGACAGTGGAAAAGAAGAGGTGAGTACATTCACTCAAAAAAGGCTGAAATGTATTTAAAATGTTGGCGAATTATGGGTAACTTAATTTTCTAAAAGCAGGGGGAGTTGGGAGAAGGTATAGGATTGTTAAACAACAGCAGAAGGAAAGATTCTATCTAGGTCTAAGAAGGTTTACCTTGTGACAGGACATGTATGATAGAATAAATCTCAGGTTACCATATTCAAAAGGCAAGTAATTTTTCTAGCCAATCTAACACGGCCATGTGTGCAGCTTTTCTGGTAATTCTTGAATATTCCCTAATAGGTGTCTAGCACAAAATATTATTTGTAAGAACTGTCACTGTTAAGTGCTCCATTTTCTCTACAAAGTGTCTCAATTTACCACTATTTTCATGGATTTCTAAAAAAAGTATCACTTTTTTTTTTATCACTTTTTAAACAGAACAACAACAATAGAGATCTCCTGGGCTTTATTTTAGATTGACTTCTAATAATTCTTCATGTCTTCTAAATACCTAGTAAAATAAAATCATCCATTTGAATGATGAAATTCAATCAAATTCCTATATATTTTTGGAGTTAGATTTAATATCATCCTTTTTCTTTTCAAAGTGCTTAATGGCATATGCATTACATTTTTTAAGTGATACAGAATTAATTTTACTTGGGAAACTTGGAAAATATTTGAGATATGTTTGATTAGTTATCAGTTGTTGCACTGAGAATATAAATATATCTAGGGTAATAAATGTGGCTGATGTGTGTATAGTCATCCAATACCTATTGGATTATAATTTATTCTTTTTAAGGCACAAAGAACTAGATTATTTAAAATATAATTGTAGCCTTCATATATAAATACATAATAGTATCTACAAAGTTTTTTTTGAAGAACTCAGCTATTTTTCTCTTTTGTTACTATTTCAAATCTGTCTCACATTTAGAAAACCTTTAGACTTATGGATTAATGTTTGCAAATATTGGCTAATTTGTTGGTTAAACTGTAACCTGCAATTTTGTTTGCTTCAAATGACCTAACGTAGATCTGGGGAATCCAGCTTTGTGTTTTCCACTTTCCTTGTCTCAGAGTGTTTGTCAAAGTTAAAAATGTCAAATATGCCAAATTCAGTTGAAATATTTTCTGTAGCTAATGACTCATGCCTTTTTAGAAAATAGAATGAGGTATGGATGTACCTACTAATAGTAGAATAATAGATATTTTTGATTTCTCAGCAATTCAACTTGCAAATATCCCATCTGATCCCCATAAGTCCCATTTTTTTTTTCTGGCTTGAAAAATATGGTCACTGTAGAAACTACAAGCTCAATTTCCCAAAAAGTCACCCACAGAAAATGTTGTTGGTTCTGCTAACCAGCTCCCATGTATTCAGCTTTTGTTATGTGTTTTGCATTCACTAAGCCATTTTCTTATATTAAAAAATTATTGATATATAATAATTGTACATCTTTATGGGGTATATGTGATATTTTGATACATGCATACAATGCATAATGATCAAATCAGGGTAATTAGGCTATCTCTCACCTTAAATGTTTATCATTTTTTTATGTTGGGAATATTCCAAATCTTCTTTTCTAGCTATTTTGAAATATATAACAAATTATTGTTAACTACTGTCATTCGTCTGTGCTATCCAACACTAGAACTTACTCCTTCTAACTGTATTTTTGTACCCATTAGCCAGCCTCTCTTCATCCTCCCCTCCACCTCTCCCAGCCTCTAGTAACCATAATTCTACTCTTTACCTTCATGAGATCAACTTTTTTAGCTCCCACATATGAGTGAGAACATGTGGCATTTGTCTTTCTATACCTGGCTTATTTCACTTAACATAAAATCCTATACTGTCCTTTAGTTCTATCCATGTTGCTGCAAATGACAGGATTTCATTCCTTTTTAGCCATCTTTGGGGAAAGCATTGCTTAGCTACCGCCTGAGAGAAGAGAAAGGCAGATGAGGACTCGAAAATTCATTTTGGCCATGAGTTGGCCCTGCCCATACCTTCTCATATTTTGTTTCCTTTTGGATGTGACACCAAAACCAGTACCAAAGCTAGCAGTTCAACCATGGATCCCCTCCTCTCTCACTTAGACCTCTTCCACTGGGCAGAGCTGGGCGGGGGCAGGAATGGTGCTTATGTCATAGCAGGTCCACGTTTGGTGTTGGGAACCACCAAGATCTGGATCCGAGTCCTGATTCTGCCACTTATTAGCTGTGCGAACTCTGGCAAGTTGCTCGGATGAGCTGTAATTGCTTTAATGTTCCTTATCTTGAGGCCAGTGCTTGTTGAGCTGCTAGAGAAAAAGAAACACTTGTGACAGTTAGAACATGGTTATTCTCTAAGTGTAGGGGTGGGTGACTTAACCCTTGGCTGGCATGGCCTTAGGTCCTGTTCATAATTTGTATCTTATGGCCACACAGAGTCTGTTCTGTCAGTCATATAACATCTATTTTAACACTAATGTTGGTCAGTTGTGTCTAAACTGCAAAAAAGGAGGGAGTACAATAATGCGTGTCCAACCTCCTGTCTTATCACGGCCAGGAACTCAGATTTTAATATTTCTCTGGGGTCTTCATGGCCAAGAGGTTGGGGGACTTTAGGATTTTCAGTTCTCAAATGGAATATTTTCCTTTGTTTTTGTGGTGCCCATGCTTTGCTAGTCGTATAAACTCCTGTGTCATCTACTGTGTGTGTAGCTCAGCACTGGGACATGTTGAATATTTGAAATTAGACAGGAAAAAATATCAGGTTTCTAAGGACCTGTGGATTCTGGATTCATCCAACCCCTCAGGGACAGTAACCTTAAGGTGACCCTCGCTCATTTTCTCCTGAAAGATTGAAGCTGCAGTCGAGGCTGCCAGAAGGGCCTTTCCCGGCTGGTCGTCCCGGAGCCCCCAGGAGCGCTCACAGGTCCTCAACAAGCTGGCAGACTTGCTGGAGCAGTCCTTGGAGGAGTTGGCCCAGGCAGAATCTAAAGACCAAGGTGAGAGCTGTCCCTGTAACAGGTGGGATGCAGGACACTTCTGATTATTCAATATTGTCCCTCCTGGGGCCATCAGGCCATCCCATGTGTGTGCTCCTCATGACAATGGCCGACGGGAAGAGCAGGACCCCGAAGGCTCGTCAGGCCAGGCCACAGCTGTTACACTTCTGCCTTGCTCTGATGGCCAAGGCAGATTGCATGGCCGAACCCCAAGCCAATGGGCAGGAAACATACTCTATTTGATGGAAGGAACTGAAAAGGTACATGGCAAAGGAAGGGCATGGGTAGGGGTAGAGATGGAGAACTCAGGCTGATCATGCAATCTTCCACCCATTCTAAGTAGACCACCCATTCTAAGTAGAAAGGTAACTAGAATAGCAGTTAGACAGTCAGGTTACTTAGAAAGGTTTTTGGTACATCAGTCACTATTCCACTTCCAGTGCAGTATCCCATCCCATTTTTTCTCACAGTTTCCCAGACAGAGCTCAGGGTAATGGTGTAAATATCTGCAAATCTTTGCAATAATATCTGTTAGGAAAAGCCAAGAGCTTTTAAAATTATATGCATTGCTCTCAACCAACCTACAGTTAGGAAATAGCCTGAGTCCAAGCCATTTAAAAAGAAAATGTTGTCTCTGCTATTGTTCTTGACTGTAGAGTCTACCTGCATTGCCAAAGATAACTTGGCAACAACAAGATAACTCAGTAAGCTCATGTGTGTCTGTTCCATCCAGGAGCTAGGACGGGCATGTGATGGGTGAGCAGGTGACATACAGCATCCTGTGCTGGAGGTTCCATCAGTCCTTCTTATGACTTCACCATGTGTAGGGAGGACATTTAATATATATCCTGTTTTCATAAACATGGATTTTTGTTATATGCAAATACAGCCATCTTAATGGCCATATTTCAACCCCTTTGTCACATGTACAAAACCTGGTGATTTTGAATTATAAGAGTTCGTGTGGGTGAAGTGGTAGCAACTGGAAAATTCATTTTTTTTTTCTTTTTGAGACAGGGTCTCACTCTGTTGCCCAGCCTAGATATGCAGTGGTATCATCATGGTTTACTGCAACCTCAAACACCTGGGCTTAAGTGATCTTCCTGGCTTAGCCTTCCAAGTAGCTGGGACTACGGGCATGCGCCACCACACCCGGCTAATTTGTCTATGTTTTGTAGAGATGGGGGTCTCGATTTTGCTCAGGCTGGTCTTCAATTTTTGATCTCAAGTGATCCTCCTTCCTCGGCCTCCCAAAGTGCTAGGATTGTAGGCGTGGACCACCGCACCTGACAAACATCTGACAAATTCACGATAAGAGCTGCAAAGCATTCAGTCTACAAAGCAAAGATTGTGTGGCTCAATGTTAACCTCCCTAGCTCATTTTATAACCTGACATCTAATTATTTCATAGCCTTATCAAACCTTGATCAGCTCTTTGGGTGGTCAAGGAATGCCTGCCCCAGGCTAGAAGGAACCAAGGCTATTTCAGTGTGAGTTGGGATAAATGTGTGATGAAAGCTGACTGATACCGTATCTCCACTGACAGTGCTTTATGTTGTTTACCATTAATAGGGAAAACCTTAACACTGGCAAGAACCATGGACATTCCCCGGTCTGTACAGAACTTCCGGTTCTTTGCTTCCTCCATCCTGCACCACACGTCCGAGTGCACGCAGATGGACCACCTGGGCTGCATGCACTACACCGTGCGGACCCCTGTGGGAATCGGTAGGTGCTGCTCGGTGACAGCCTGCATCGCGATTTCGCAGAGACAGGGTTGCTCACAAAATTTCATAGAATTGACCTCAAGGAACAAAGGAAAAGGAAAAAGCGATTTTTTGGACCTTTACCTAAAATTTGTTGGCCTCAAAAATCTATTTCTGGTTTGTTCTCTTCGTGTCAAATTCCCTGCTTATTCCTGGAACATTATCTAGGAAAATCACAAGGAAAAGAATGATGCTAAGAGTAAATTCATATACCAGGATATTTTGTTGTTGTTGTTGTTGTTGCCTATAATTTAAAAAGAAAAAATCTATTTCCAGAGAGCGCAGTGGTTAAGACTCTAGAATTGTATGGGTAAGGCATAACTTCTGTGTGCTTCAGTATCGTATCTGCAAAGGGGATAATAGTTTAATTTTCTCTTTGTATACGTTTTATATAAATTAAATAAACTAATAAGTGTAGGGCATTTAGAATAGTGCCAGGTATGTGTTAAATGAGCCTAGACTGAGAATTATCTACTTTCTCATTCATTCCTTTACCTTTTGGAAGAATATATAAATGTCTGTTATGACTAAAACTATCCACTAGATGTCACTGTTTTCCATGAGAAAAAACACAAACCATCTGTTGTTTTTTTTTTTTTTTTTTTTTTTTTTTTTACTAGTTACAGTCCCTGAATAGAAGTTAAAAGGAAGGAAAATGGGATATTTTACCGCTTTGGTTCTTTGAACCCTTCATAAATAATATTTTCAAGGCATTATAGAAATTTCTGGGTTCCTCCTAAGAAGTATACCAATGTATTTTGCTGCAAAAATAGTTATTCCTTAAAGAGCAGATGGGACATTTAATAATATAAAAGATACATTTACTTTCATAGCACAGGCTTGAAGGAAGAGTACAAAATAAGATAAGTCTATTTCCTTATTCATAAGATAGATTTTATGTTGTGTGTATTGTGGTTGAAAAGCTGGATAGCTTTGGAATATTGCATGGAGACACAGCCTTCTAGACATGAGCTACTTGTCCAACAAACCTATCTGGTCTTGATACAGATGAGAAACTAGAGAGAAATTTTATTTAAAAATTTTCTGAGTAGCCAAATGGATTTCACAGTCTATGCATCAAAGTTTATTGGCTTTAGTGATAGGAACCTCTCCCATCCCCCCACCCAAGGAACACTCACGATATTTTTGTTCCTATTTTACAAATAATTCTATAAAGTTTGTGATTTTCTTTCAAACCACAACAGATTTGAAACAGAGGTGGAGAAACTTGTTAGAAGAAACAGCAGCTGGACAATTTAACAATGAGTTGGGGGAAGTTTTTTTTTTTTTAAGTAAAGCTCAATCTATGAATCTCAAAATAAATCACATTCTAGAACTGTTTAGTGATAGGTACCACCTCTTGGCACTGGAGCTTATATTGCTGTTGTTCATAATTATAATTGTAAACCATCAAGAAATGGGTAGATTGTATTGATTTTATTCTATTTTAAAAGGTACAGTTGCTTGTAGTGCATTTTAGAGTTATTTCCCTGAAGGTGGCTACCAATCAGTGAAGTTTGGGAAAAAGAAGAGTGAATTAAGTGTCAAGTGGCATGAAGGAGTTCTGCATTAATAACTTCACTTGGCCAGTCTGCTTCTGAGAGGCATGCCATCATTGGCAATGCTTCCCCTCTTGTCCCTTAGCTGGTCTGATCAGTCCCTGGAATTTGCCACTCTACCTGCTGACCTGGAAGATAGCTCCGGCGATGGCTGCAGGGAACACCGTGATAGCCAAGCCCAGCGAGCTGACCTCAGTGACCGCGTGGATGTTGTGTAAACTCCTGGATAAAGCAGGTAATTAGCTGTTGGGCTTTGGGGGGGAGGCACAGAGTTGCAGCAAAGTTACGTTATAGAGAAATCTCGCACTCAGCAGCAAAATTGATTCCAGTGACACCTTTGAGTTTTGTCTTCCCGATCCTTTTCTGAGAAATCCCTTTTGGCCACAGGGATCCCTCACCCTGCTTCCTCTCTTCAGCTAGAGCCCTGCTAGTGCAGAATAGTCTCATCCCCAGGGCGGTCGACTGGCAGTGGAGTTACAGCACAATAGTGACACAGGCCTGAAGGGTCCAATCCAATCAAAGACATCAGCCTGCTCCAGACAGAATCTTCAATAGCCAATTTAAATCTTGTGTTTGAACCACAAGTTCATTTTGATGACAATGACAATATTGCTAGGTACACCTTCAGTTTGTATAGCGATAGGGTACTTAGGAGAAATAGCCCATTTTTAAGATATTTGAATATATATCCCTCCAATTTCCCCCACTTTGGGACCACTACTCAGACACAGATATAATATGGCCTCTTACCAGTGTCTCAAGGTTCACATATTTGCTCCTTGTCCTCTTTCTGCCAGTAGTTTCATGGCTACGTTCAGGGTGCCTTCCCCGTTTTGTTCTGGGGTGTTATCTGCCCGGGCACGGCCTGGCACTGCACCAGTGTTGGAAGGTACCAGGCAGGAAGCCCCAGCCAGTAACCTACAAGAAGGCCCCTTAGTGTTGGGTCCCCTGGCTCATGTCCCCCCACAGTCTGGGCAGGAATGAGGGCTGGGTGGTGGGCACAGACCTACCATCCTTCTGCCTTTCAGCCCACAGAGAGGGTGGTGCTTGCTCTCCCACGTGCACAGAGTGGCTGGTGGATACGAGTCCATCTCTCTCTTCGTCTTCTGGATACTTTCTCTTGAAGCAAAACATACACATTGGCTTCCAGTGAAGTTTAGCCAGTTCTTTGCCCCAGGATTGAGATGACAGGTTAAAATGGAGGCTGTTTAGGGCAGGCATTGGGTATTATGACCCTTGCATCCCACAGAGGAATGAGGCCTCCCTGCCTAGGTCTTTGGGGTGATGTGTGTGGAGACCCTGGCCTTTAGGGGTGCATGAAATAATTGTGTCGACCTCTCCCATGTCCCTCACAAAAGACACCACATTCTTATTCCATTCTTTGTGAAATTAAGTCCCTGGTGTCTGCAAAGGCCTAAGACATTTCTTCCCTGTCTGGTGACTGCTGAGAGTGGGCTGGGATTCGGACTTACGCTCTGCTTTGATCTGTCGCTGGGGAGGGGCCCTCTGGAGGTGGAGGCGGCTGCACAGAGCCGTGGCCCATGCCACTCTCTCCTGAAACCAAACACGTCTTGATCTGGGCTGAGTTCTCTTTCCTAACCAGTCTGCACAGGACCTGGTCTACACAAGAGTTTTCCGTTACCACCTACTAATATTTGTGCAGCATTGATCTTCTTTCTTATGAACTAATTAACCTGTTACAACAAGAGAGCCCTTCTCTTTCCTCCCTGGGCTGGTTCTGCCAAACTTTCCTCCTCTGACAGACGCTGAGAGTGTGATACTCACATGGCACCTCTCTTAAGCCCTCAGTTTCCCCACTGCGATTGGGAGAGAGCGTGAACTGTTATCTATGTAATCCTGCTTTAAAGCAGCCTAAGAGAAACTTAGAATAGTGTGAGGGGAAAAAAAAACCCCAATAAACTGCTAATGCACCCTGGATATTTAAAGAGCTAGCTCCCCTAGTCCCAGGTGTTCAAACAGACTTGACAGATGACCTTCCTTGAAATAAAATCATTTTAAAAAGTACACAGCGAATACCTCTTTGGGAGTCCTAGAACATTTATTTTCTTCTTGGGGGCACCAAATATTTGCACTCCTTCCTGGAGTGTCCACTGGCTGCGTTTTCCTAGGCCTTCTCATTGGTTTTCTTTCATGCTCTATTTAAGTTTAAAATTCTTCTCGTTGCCACCCTGCCACGCCCTGGCATTTGACGGACTTCATTCTTGTCCGTTTTCATCTGCTCCTAATTTATCTATTAGCCAACTATCCTGAGTTTTGCCAAATTGCTGTTTGCTGATTAAACTGCTTTCCTTCTCTTATAACCAGAATCTCTTAAGGGTTAGGGAGCAGATATCTCTAAAAGAATTTCATTAATTTCGGGACAAAATGGCAAAATGGTCCTGAGACACAATGGCCAGCAGACATTAACATCGGAGCCCAAGGAAATGTGATAAAAACGTTAATGCCGTTGGGAGGAAGGCACTGTTTGCTGCAACGAGCTCGTTTTCCTGTGCTGATAAATATGTGGGCTTTCTGTGTTTTCTCTCACCCTCTGTCAAAATGCTGCTATCAATATTAGAAGTGATTGGATCCATTCTTTGCTTTTGGGATTCATAAAGCCTGACAGTCCACCTCCTCCTGCCCACGCACCCCCCCCCCACACACACGCACGTGCTGGGGACGCAGGGCCATGTAGCACACGGTGGGAAACTTGTCCTTGTTGTCTTCCCATCAGCTGCTGGGAGGGCCTCTCCTCCCACACGCTTCTTTGCCCCAACCCAGAGCAAAGGTGCTCCCACGCGGTGCCAGGCAATTCTCTGGCAGGGACCCACAATTCAGGAGCGACCCAAGCCAGATTTCAACAGGTGTGCACACGGGGTACGGAGGTGCGGCCGTGAGTAGTGGGGCTCTGCCAGACGCTGTCATGACTTACGGAATCTTCCCACCCGTCTCCTTGAGGGCTCACCCGGATGGGCCCGTCCTTGTCCCCTCCAGGTGCTTGGGCTCGGGCTGCGGCTCTGTGGGAGGGGGCTCTGGATGATGGTGGATTTTCACTGTGAAAGTATTAGTTGTGCCTTCAAAGCAGATTCTTGAAGAGAGAGTTTGAATCCAGGACAATATGTTTCTAATGAGGAGAGAATGTCTAAGCTGGGGCAAGGGAAGGATACCGGGACCAAGGAAGCAGCTGAAAAGCTGAAAAGCTTACAGTCTGCACCTGCTGTGGTTCAAGCCTGAAGAACCAGAGGTAATAAATTCAGTTACCTGCAGGCAAACCCTGAGAACTTCCTAGACACAGCATGATTCTACATATGGTTTTCTGTTTGGACACTGAAAGCTTCCCGAATTCATGAACCATTTCTAATTTGGATAATGCACACTAAGCACTCATTCATTTACTTAACAATTATTTACTAACCTTGCAATGACCAGCTTTGCTGCTTACTGGTTGTTATTCAATCTCATCTTGCCCCAGATTTCTCACTGGTGAAATAAGGGCAATAATACTAACCTCACCGGGTTGTTGTGAGTGAATTGCTGATGCCCTGGGCCTCACCGATCAACGTTCATTTACTGGCATTAGTTCTGTGCCAGACTAGGCCATGGCATAGAGTATACAATGACAGAGAGTGCAAAACATACACCTTTTCTGCCCTCAGCTGGCGTACCTTCTAGTGAAGCCAGGCAAGAGACAAGTAAATCCTGATAATGCAAATAACTGCATGCAGATATAGCATGGTAGGCTGTTTTGATAGAAAAGATTGGGGCACCCACTTCTGGTTGTTCTTGGTACTTGCAGGTTGGCTCTAGAGTGCTAGCGTGCTGCACATAGTCATGAAACACACAACTTCCAACTCAAACCCACCCTCCCTGGGGAGGCTTCCCCTGTTCCCCAGGGCCAAGATAGTCCATCTCTTCTCTGCACCTCAGCAGCAGCTACACACTCCTGTACTTAACATTTTCACGCTGCACTGTGACTCGTGGATGCCAGGCTGGAGCAGGGCACTGCTCACCCATGGGGCTTGACCGGCCTCTCTGTATCTCAGCCCCTACGGCCTGGTCAATATTATGGAATGAATTGCCTGGAATGTGTTCTACCCTGCATCTCTGTAGGGCAAAGCACCCAGAGAAACCCCACCTACTGCGTACCATGGGCAGAAGTGACTGTAATCCTCACTTTGCTATTAAACCAGAGACAACCACGAGAGTTCCAAGTGTTGTCAAACCCAAGTGCTTCTCCATCCCCACCTGTCCCCATTCAAGCTATTGTACTTTCAAGAGAATCTTCTCAACACACAGAGGAGAAAGACTGTAACTGACACTGTTTCCTATGCAGGTGTTCCCCCAGGTGTGGTCAATATTGTGTTTGGAACGGGGCCCAGGGTTGGGGAGGCCCTGGTGTCCCATCCAGAGGTGCCGCTCATCTCCTTCACGGGGAGCCAGCCCACAGCGGAGCGGATCACCCAGCTCAGTGCTCCCCACTGCAAGAAGCTGTCCCTGGAGCTGGGGGGCAAGAACCCCGCCATCATCTTTGAGGACGCCAACCTGGATGAGTGCATTCCAGCCACCGTCAGGTCCAGCTTCGCTAACCAGGTGTGTCCTTCCGGGTTTTTCCACTCCCTAACCCCATGGCCCTGGCAAGACAGATCTGTTTCATCAGGGAGCAAAGCCCAGGAGTGAGCAGGTCAATCCAGTGCCATTTCAGTGGAAGGAGGGTCAGAGCATTGTGTTGTTCCACTGACAGTCTGTGCAATCTCAATGTCAATGAGTGGCCTTGTAGAGTGACAGCTTCTGTTCAGCAAGTTCCTCTTCTTGAGTGACACAACTTTCATCAGGCACCAGCCATGGTCAGAATGATTGATTTGCTGCTCTAAGCTTCTACACTCCTTTAGGCACACGGATGCTTCTTGCTGCCCAAATGTCCTATTTCCAGTAAAGTTTATTCTCCCTCCAAAAGCATCCCAAATGTATTCACACACTGAGTTACAAATACCTGGAACAGTCTAGAGCAGGTCTCTCAGCTTGGAGTCATGAATGAGCTGCAGGTCATCTTTGCATCTCCTGAAATTATATAGCAGATGTTTGTCTGGGCTCCATTGTTTTTGTCAGATTCTTCAAGGCCATGGCATCCCAAAGGGCTAAGAACACTAGACCAGATCAGCTAGACAGTAGGCTTCAGGAAGATGGGAATAGTGCCTGCTTTTGTGCGGCATTTTTAGCATCGATGCCTAGAATACTGCCTAGCATGTAGCAGATGTGCATAATCATTGAATGCTTTTCTCCAAAGGATTTTTTATTTTAGCAGAGAATAAAAACATAAGCCAAAGTGTTAGAACTTCCCTAGAAGAAAAAGAGAGTAGAATGAGATATATCTGTATTTACCTAACACTGGATATTGCATAACCTTTTGAACCTGTATTTCTTCACCAGTAAAATCATATAAGCAATAATGATGCCTCAAAACAGGGTTTTTGTGAATATAGAAAGAAGAATATTTTTTTTTTTTGAGACAGAGTCTCGCTTTGTTGTCCAGGCTAGAGTGAGTGCCATGGCGTCAGCCTAGCTCACAGCAACCTCAAACTCCTGGGCTCAAGCAATCCTCCTGCCTCAGCCTCCCGAGTAGCTGGGACTACAGGCATGTGCCACCATGCCCGGCTAATTTTTTCTATATATATCAGTTGGCCAATTAATTTCTTTCTATTTATAGTAGAGACGGGGTCTCGCTCTTGCTCAGGCTGGTTTTGAACTCCTGACCTTGAGCAATCCACCCGCCTCGGCCTCCCAGAGAGCTAGGATTACAGGCGTGAGCTACCGCACCCGGCCGAAAGAAGAATATTATTAACACTTTTGTGATGATTATAATTATTTCTCTCATCAACAATTCCTAGAGAAAGTGGCTAGAAATATAGAGGGTTTCTGGATCAATAGACAATGCAATTTTATGATGCAACTCAAGCATGATGCATTTTATGATGCATTAAAGTAAGCAAATATCAAGTGAATTATTAAACTAAGTGTTTTGATGGCTTAGAGACAACAAGAGAGGGACAAATTGTGTGGACTGAGAAGTTGAGATGAGAGAAAGTTAGGTGAACTCTCTTATTAAAGTAAATGAATTCTGAGCATGGAGGTATACGCTGTAAGCCTCTTGGCTGCCAGAATTGTGCTAGCATTTGCGTTTGCCAGGAGAAACTTTCTCTTGGGGTGTTTTAAAATGTCACTGAGAAACAGGACATGAACCTAACTAATTGGCCAATCCCAAGGTAACGAATAGATTTTAGGCAAAATAAATAAAGCAGATTGATTTTTTACTTAGCTGAGTGAAGAGTTCCATGTAGTGCATACTTCTTCCTTAATTGAACACAATTGGCTTTTTTGGGAACCATCTCTGTGTGACCTTGGACATATATTAATTCCAAACTCTATTTCCTAACTGTAAACTGGGAAAGCTAATAGACCACAGAATTATTATGAGGAGAGCATCCTATAGGTGCTTGGCATACTATAGGCACTCAACAAATGATACTATCCTTTCCTCACTTCCTCCAAAGTCATTCTCCTGGGGAACTTGGCATGCTTACCTGGCCTTTCCTGGCACTGAGTAACAGGAAACTTGATAAAACCCTCAAGTCTCCTTCCCACTGTGGCACTGGCACTTGTGCAAAATGAAACTGTCAGATGTTTGGACATTTCCCAAGCCAGATATGCAGATGATTCTCACAGCGATCCTGGTTGTAGAAAGAATTTATTATTTCAAAACATTAGCTATTTAATTTGGACAATGAACCTTTGTACAAATACCAAGATAATTAGATACATTCTACTTCCTAGGATTGTTGGGAAGACCAAATATAAACACAATGAAATATATTTATGCATTTATGAACATGTCATACATACATCATGCTGTGAACTGTCTAGAATGTGGCTTGTAAACTATTACATGCTAAATTCAAATGAGAGTTAGGATTATTTTTCACTGAGAAACCTGCTAGGCCTTTTCCCCTGAACACTCAGCGTCTCCATTGGGACATCTGTGAGGTGTCTGAAACCCAACTCTTGCAGAACTCTTGAGTTGTCTTGCTCTCCTTCCCTGTAGCAGCGATCCTCTCCCTGCCTAGTGGTTGCCTTTCCAGGGAATAGCCCCACCATCCGGTCTGTGGCTCAAGCCAGAAACCTAGGGCTCATCCTTGCTTTTGCTGGCTCTTTTCCTCATACCCTGTATCTAATCCATGGACAGGCCCTATATTGGTTCTCTCATTAAGATACACCCTGAACCATAACACTTCTCCAGTGCACCTCTGCCAGTCCCATGCCCCCAAAGTATAGAATCTGCTGGACTTGGTGGGTCCCTATCACTCCTCTCCATCTCCACTGGTGCAATCCAGGTCCAAGCTACCACCACTGACCTCGACTTCTGGAATGTTCTCTCAACTCTCCACTCTGTTCCCACTTCTGTTTCCTTCCATTCTATTTTCCACACAGCTGTCAGAATGACCATTTAAAAAGGTAAATCCAATCCTATCACTATGCTGCTTGAAAACTTCCATAATCTTTTTCTTTTTTTGAGACCAGGTCTTGTTCTGTTAACCAGACTGGAGTGTGCAGTGCCATTGCCATAGCTCACTGCAACCTTGAGCTCCTGGGCTCAAGAGATCTTCCTGCCTCTATTCACTGCAGAGAGTTCCCTGACTCTAGATCTTTGCTTGTCCTGCTGCTTCATTCAACTAAGAGCCAATTCAAATATCTCCTCTTTGCAGGTGCCTCCCATGACTCCATAATAGCTGCCTCTCTAGCAGATTCTAGCCCCATTCTCTGATTAATTTTCTTCTCTTGCTTTGATGACTTCCCCAAGTTCTATTATTTATTGAGTTTGTTTACTTGTGTTTTTGTCTGCCTTGTCCACAAGATTCTGCATTCCATGTGGTGGGAACTTGGTCTTATTCACCACTGTAACCCGCTGCCTAGACCAGCACCTGATACACGGCAGGTGCTCAAGGGTACAGGGTGATCCATCCACGGAGGAGAGTGGCCTCTAGCCTTGCCATTGTGCTCATTTTTGGCAGGGTGAAATATGCCTCTGTACCAGCAGGATCTTTGTCCAGAAGAGCATCTATAGTGAATTTTTAAAGAGATTCGTAGAAGCTACCAGAAAGTGGAAAGTCGGTGTTCCCTCTGATCCATCGGCCAGCATGGGCGCTCTGATAAGTAAAGCACATTTGGAGAAAGTAAGTAAATTTCTGGCGTGTAAGCTACAGAATAAGTTCTTATTTGAAGAGAAGATTGGTGCAAGCATAGTACATATCAGGCTTTGAAATATTGTTAATTACTACTCTATTTTTGAAATATTATGACCTATGAGAAATCGTCTATGGACAGAGTCTAAAAAATTTTGGATATGAACATGCAAACGGAGTCCAGGTTAAAGTAGCATACACATTAAATGAATGAATTTGAGAAGTCAGCACAGAGACACCACTGGTAGAGTGGGGAAGGCAATTTCAATACATAAGGGTCAGCTATAAGAATGGTGTAGACTAAGAGTGGTGGGGAATTCCATAGGCAAACAAACATTCACTATGGAAAAGTCCTGCCTCTGGTTTATAGAAGATGGGATTCCAGAAATGCCAGCACAAACAATCCAAATTGTGTGGTCTTTAGTCAGTGGGGGACCATGCTTGCCCTATCTGGAAGAAGCTGTTGATGATCTCTGAGTGATTTATGGAATTCAGATCTTTAGAATCATTTTAATGTATTACCAGATGTGACTCCCAAAATAAGTCACAGATCTCTTTGAAAGGCCTTGTTTTCAGCTGCAGTAACCGAGGCCCCCTGAGGGCAACTTGGCCCTGTCAGTCAGCCAGTGAGAGACAGAGTCCTCACTTAGCTTTGTAGAAATCCCTGACACTGCACAGTGCATTGGACATTCACTACATTTAACTTTGACCTTCACGACACTGCAGCACAGATGCCTGGAGATTGGAAGATGTAATAGCTGGATGGTCTCTTCTTATTTTCTCTCTCTCTTTTTTTTTTTTTCAGTGAAATAGGCAGCAGGGTGAGGAGGGGAGAAGGGGTTGAAGGTTTCAGAAGGGAGGAGAGGCATGAAATAGTCTTGCAGAAGGACAGGAGAGAAAAAGGGCTGGGGAATGACAAAGTCATCAGCAGGGCAGCTTGAAGGGCTCACTTGAGGGTTGTGGTTATTTATTTAAAGTGAGGCTGGCCAGCACAGCTATATTTTTATCCAGCTAAATTTACCTTCAAGACTGCAAATGCACAGGCAGCAGTCCTGGGATGTCCCTGGGGGCCTTCAGGTGTGGATGGCCCTACTTTCACGGAGTGAGGGTTCACCAGCTGCAAACGGCTCCGTTGCCCTCTCTCTCTCTGTCATCTGGCTCTTTTGGACACCAGGGTTATGTGCCTGCCTGCCTACACCTGCAAACGACTGGTGAAAACATTAGCGTGCTCCCAACTGCTTCTGGTGAAGCAGGAAGGGGTGGACAAAAGTTAACTTCTAGGAAGAATCTTCCAGTAGGTTCAGGCTATAGCACAGTCGGAGGTGCCCTTTGCAATTCACCCACTTAAAGTTTCAAGGTTCTTTCTGCATCAACTCGGCAGATAAACTATTTTTTCTATCTTAGGCACTGCCATAATAACTGGTTTAGTTACCCAAAGAAAGGAGATGTATTAGCAAAAAAAAATCAAAGTGTTTCACTGTTCTGTATCAACTGAATGCCCTGGAGCCTCCTAAACATACACAGTGTTTTTGTGCATGTGTGTGTAAGAGAGAGAGAGAGCCAGGGAGAGAGAGAGACAGAAATTGATGCCACACTTTGATTCATATTGGTAGCTGTGACTGTTCTCTGTCATACTTTAAATATGTTTCCCTATTGAGCTACGAAAGTTTATTAGGGAGATTCAATTGACAGGCTCAACAGGTTCCAATGCGTTGTCATCAGTGTGGGCTTTCAACAGTATTTTTGATGCCTGGTGTGTCCCTGTTTGGCCTGAAACAATCCTCCCACCTTGGCCTCCCAAAGTGTTAAGATAACAGGCATGAGCCACCATGCCCAGCCTTAGCTAAGTTACTTTTTAAACTTTGCTCTAATATCATAGTTATTTCATCACTGGTGGTGATGTAGCACATCGTGCATCGTCATACCCCATCTTGTTCACAGTCAAAGCGTAAGTCTTTAGAATTGCCCAGGAGACCATCTATTCTCTGTCCCCTGTTACCTCTGGGAACTTCTCCTCCCACACGCCACTCCTAGATACTGGCTTCCCTGTTCCTCTTTGAAAATTCCAGGCATGTTCCTGCTTCTCAGCCTTTGCTCTTGTTGCTCATGCCACCTGCAATGCTCTTCCTCACACAATGGCTTGGCTCTCTCCTTCCCACCTTAGATCAAATGTCTGCCTAGCCTAGACAAAAGGGTGCCTCTTAGAGCTTCCTCTACTTCTTTGGTGCTTTAGTTTTCTCCATGGCTCTTAATACCATCTGACACACTATTAATCTATGACTTATTTCTTTATTGACTACCTTTCCTTGACTGGGATGCAAGCTTCATGTCACTACTTTAGTCACTACTGTCCCCTTAGACTCCAGAAAAGCCCCTGGAACACAGTAGTTGCATAGTATTGGTTGGGTGAGAAACTGAATTAACACCAGATCATGTGTTTCAATTTCAGCACATCCTCCAAACCTAAAGTATCCATTTTCCTCAAATTGGTTTTGATTCTTTGCTTAAACTACCTAGAATCGGGTACAAAATTCCCTGGTCTGGGCCATCTCTTGCTAGCATGACTCAGCATCAAGACTCTGAAAGGGAAAACTAAACACAAAAACAAAAACCCATCTTGTTTTCCAAGAAAACACTTGAAAATGCATAAGCATAGAGCATCTGGTATCACTGGTCATTAAATCATAACAATGACAAAGGGACTGTATAGACGCATATAAGCCTTTGAGGTTTTGCTTAAAACTCCCCTTTTACTCTGCATCTTTTCTTTGGTGCTGGTATTGGTTGTGTCAGCTCATGTCACAAGTGTCCTTAGTATTGAATTGTAGCTTCTTAAAAACCTTTGGATAAATATGGATCTTCAATAACTCAGTATTATATAGATCCAACTTTTTAAGTGCCAATTAGTCATGTCAAAAAATGCAACCAGATTGTTATCAAAATTGAGATTTCTCTCACATGCTACAAGTATACAAGTAGAACAATGTCTGTAGGTCCATGTTTTTCCAATGTTCTTGTGTTTCTCAAGAATTAACTTATAAAAAAGGCACCAAAATATTTTTATTATCACATATTTTAGTTAAAAACACTGTTCACATTGCATTTAGATGCCTCCCCAAATCTCAAACTTTTGTTTTGCTTTTTGGTGATTTCTAGTAGTTTTCATTATCCCTAAAATGAACATAGAGAATTTAGCAAGTTTAGGTGTCAGAATATTTCAACATAAAATATTCACATTTTTTTCTTGAGAAAATATACACCTTGAACATTGTGTCTGTGAGTGACTCCACAGAGAAGACCCAAATTACCTTTAGTTTAGTAGGTGGCTGATTAGGATTTGCCAACCTAAGCTGGCAACAGAGAGAAAGGCTCTCTAAAGAAAAGAAATGACTTTATTCAGGAATGAATGACAGGAGATTTATGAACTAGGGTATACGTGGTGTGGTGTTGGGCATATCTAGAGGGGTAAAGGAAGGAAAGGATTTTTAAATGTAAAATGAGGAAGGTGACATATGCTGTTTTGAAACAATTATCCTTGGCTACAAGGATCAATAACAAGGGTGGTGTCAGTCCAGGGTTGAGCAGGCAAGCTACTGCGTAAGCACCCTTGTAGAAGTATTTTTTGTGCAAGGTTACGGTGGCCTTTGTGCAAGGTTGTAGTTTTGGTAGTCTCTTGTCATAGTTCTTATCAGGCAAATATGCATGAGCGCCCTCTCTTCCCGGCCTCCCAACTCCATTTTATTAAGGTTTGATGTAAGTGACTCCATTTTGTTACAGACAGCTTCCACAGGTCCAATGACCTTGGCCCCCAGCAGGAGGTGGGTGGGGCCAGGGTTTGTAATTCATCCTTATGTTTCTAGTGTTCCTTCCCAAATGAGTTGCAGGAACTTCACTGTTGCAGACTGAGACTCCATCTGCACTCAGCCGGCAGCAGAGGTGTCACTTTGCATGTGCATGTCCCAGCAGTACCTGCACACAGGTGGGAGGAAGCCCACGCCTGGAGTTTCTGAAGACGGGTCCACCCCCGGCCTGTTTCCTTCTGCCTCCTGTTTGGGTTTCTGCAAACAAGTTCTTAACTGAGTGCAGTTACACTCCTTGATACACAAGGAGTGCCTGGTTTCCCTCGGGCTGGTCTCATCTTAGCGAGACCCATGGTACCCATGCGGGGAGCAGGGGGCACACAGCACTTTGCTGGGCTTGATCACAGTGACTCCTAGGAAAAATATTCTCATGTCTGATCTCCTAAGATTTTTACAACTGATTTTCATCCTTTGGACGCCCCTAAAGTATTATACTTGCCTCAACTTATGATGACATCACCCCATCTTACATGCCATGTTTTTACCAACCCCAACTTTTCCTAAAGGAAGGGGATATGGGAAGGCTGTCACTCCTCATTATTTCTCCACAGAAGCTGTGGACAAAAGCCAAGATTCCTAATAGATCTAAACCACTTATGATATTTGATTTTTTTAAGACTTGAAACATTGGCCCTACATCCTGACACTCTCCCTAATTAGTTCAGAATTAGTTAGTTCAGAATTGCCATCTTCTACTAAACCAAATTATACCTGAAAATCAAGCATCTATTTAACATGCTGTTGTGTTATCCTAATAGCATTTCAATTTAGTATACTTAGGTACCATGTATCACTCTGGAAATTATGAAACTCACCAGCTACTAATTTTTTCTGGCCATATTCCAAATAAGGCTATAAGCGCACGTTTATCTTTTAAACAAAAAATTTTAAAGCACCCATGTATTTTTATTGTTGGATATTTTCTCTCTCAGTCAACTACTTTTTTAAAAAAATAAACTTTCTATTTTGGAATAATTCAAGATTTATAGAAAGTTTCAAAGATAAGGCAGAGAATTTCTATGTCCACTCACCCAGTTTTTCCTCTTGTTGGCATCTCACATTCCCAAGGTACATTTGTCCACACTAAGAATCCAACATGGGCACATTACTATTAACTAAACTGCAGACTTTTCAAAGACTTTTGATTTTCTACTTGATCTTTACAGAAAATAACTTTCCAGCTACTTTTCCTATTAAAATAAAGTGCAGCTAAACAGTTTGCACTCCTCTCAGAAAGCTTCAAAATTCCACCGCTTCAAAGGGGAAGATTTTGTACACAGTTAAGTTATTCACAGTTAACAACTTGAAAATAGTATCAGCCAATTTTTTAAAGGGAAGAACAATAAAGATGGTATTTGCATTGTCCCACCACGTGTAAAACTGCTGGGATCATGCAGTCTGTCTTGTTTTGGACAAGGACGCTCTCTGTTGGATTCCTCCACCTGGAGTAGAACTCCTCTCAGCTCTGCCCACAGTGCCTTCCCCACATAAGGCCCAGGAGGATCTGGCTTCTGCTGGAAACCAGCCTGCTGAACCCATCTGGCTGTGGCTGAGAAGGTCCCTGGGCGTCTGCCATCTTCACCGTTGCACATGGAGCATGTGTTCCCTGATGCGATGGTGGTCACAGCTTCTCTCTCGGAGCCTCCCACCAGGTGGACTGCTGATGGGGCTCTCGGCTCAGTTCTCAGGAGAAAGCCCTGCTGTCCCTGCCCTTTGGGAGAGAACTAATAGAAGCAACCAGACCAGTGTGAGTGTGGCCTTTCCAGATAGTGACGCTTTCCAGTTCAGTGTGCCGAACTCTCTGGGAGGGAGGAGACAGTGACGCCCTCCACTGGTTGTCACCTTTCCACGCCTTTTCCCAGAAACTCTGGGGGCTGCGTGCCCAGAAAGGCCTGGCTGCCTCCTCTGCATCCCAGCACCCTCTGCCCCTGCGGTGTGTCTCTGTCTTCTCCCAGTCAAGTTGGGTCTGTGTCCTTCGTATTTCCGCGTGATTGTCACAATAGATGGTAATGCAGTTGACAGCAGAATCCAGTCCAAATATACAAAAGTAGTTTTGTAATGGCCCAGTGCTCAGAGACTTGGGTACAGCATGCTCCTAAACGGGTACAGCATGCTCCTAAATGGAGGTGTGACGTGCCGTGTTCCCAGTGACTCCACGGGGACACACGCTAACCTGCAGGGAATTCCGTCCTCATGGAATAAAGAAAAGGCTCCTTTGTCCTTTCCACGGGGTTGCTTTTTGTTTTTGTTTCTACCCTCTTGAGTCCTTCCCTGCTTTCCTCTCTGGAGAAGCTGGCTGTGTGCCTGCCCACAGACGCAGGCAACTGGAGAGAGCGGATTCTGGAGAGAATCCTCCAGGATGGGGCTGGAGGAAGCACAGAGGAAGTTCATGGAGCATCTCCCAAGAGGGCCAGGTGTCAGGCCTAACTGAGGTCCTCCCTTGCAGCTCCCTGCCCCCTTTCATCAGATAAAAAAGAAACAAAAAAAACTGACATACAAGCTCTGACTCGAGGGAGGAGTGGAGGCAAGGGCAATATATGTAACCTTAACATTTGTACCCCAATAATGTGCTGAAATAAAAAAAGAAAAGAGAAAAAACTCTGACATACAGATGCAAGGAGCATCTTTGAGGTCTCTGAGCTAGTAAGTGTCAGGTCATGCATTACATCATCATCATACCATCACGACCATCATCAGTACCAGCAGCAACTGACATTCAGAAAAGGCTGACCATGTGCCAGGCAGTATGCTAAATCATTTTCATGTGTTATTTAATCCTCTTAAGAACACTATGAATAAGAGATTCTGTTAATTCTAGTTTTCAGATGAGGAAACCGAGGCATAGAGCATTTAAAAGCCCTTTGCTAGTAAATCAAGGAACTGGTTGGTATTTGAATAAAGGTTGGCCTCCAAGTCCACTCTTTCAACCTCTATGCTCTGATTTCATGCCCAAAGCACTACTGGCTCCCCTCAAAAAGAGTTTTATAATAATTCCTTACATTTATAACATACTACCAGTCACAGGTTTTTTTCTCCCCAGATTTTATTGAAAATCTCTGTTCCTGAGCTGCTTGGGTAGATATCATTCTATTATCCCATGCTACTTTCTCTAGGAAATAAATTCAGTTTAGTGTGAGTCACCTCCTATATTAAATGTTTTGGTAAGTTCACAATTTGAAAACTGCCACTTCTCTTTATATTTTATTACCCTAAGAGCTTCTGGGAGATAAACCATGTCATCTTGTTTAGACACAATAGTGTGAAGCCCGGGCACTCCTTGCACAGTTCTGAATCATTGACAGAACTCCCGGCTACGGCCTCCCAGCGGGGTCTCTGGCAATATTCGCCTTCATTTCCCCTGTTCACACAGGACACTCTCCTTTGGCATCTTTTAATTAACGTGGGTGGGCTGTCTCAAAAGAAGCAAGAGAGTAGACTCGGGAAAGGGAAGCACAGACTTATTTTAGTCTCTACCCACAAACCAGAATAGGGTAAGTTCTGGGAAACCTTTGAGCTCATTGTGGGTGTTGGGGGAGGAGGTTGAGTGGAAAGGAAAATAAATCCGTACCAAATGTTGTATATTTTAAAGTCTTTAACTTTATGGCTTATTAATTATTTTATAAACTGGAAGCACAGTTAATGGAATAACATTATTATTATTATTTTTTTTTACCACGGCAAATAGACATATGCTCCACATTGAAATAGTTCTAGGATGGATTCCTAATCTCACACTGAACAGAATGCTCAAATAGATAAATAAGTAGGAATCTGAAACATCATTTCAAAATTTACCCTGCCTTTGATTTACTACTCGACTGCTGTTCTATACTTGTCATTTTTAGGGCTACTTTTCTTATGCTTATAATACCCCTCGAGGGGAGAACAATGAATCATTGTGACTTTAACAATATTTCTATATATGAATATATATCTGTCTCACTATGATAATGAGTTATTTCTACAACCACTATTAATAAACATCTGTCATTATCTCTGAGTCACTGGGTTAACTTATTACACAATTTATTTCCCATTATAGTTAGCTATATTATATTACTTAGATGTATTTTCAGAGTATATTCAGTAATGAGACTAGAAATTAGAAATGATTTGTTCTGGAAGCTCAGCTATTGAAGAGCATCCTGGCCTTTAACTAAATCTTACACATCATTCACTTCCCATTTTGTGTGATGAACGTAGCCCCCCAAAAGGGAGAAAAATATTCTTTTGTGTATTTAACTACAGAATATAGCTGAGGGTGAATTCTAGCTTTACGGTTTATTAGCTGTATGAACCATTTTCACTTTCTTAGGCTTAATTATATCATCAGTAAATAGAGGATAGTAACAGATAAAAATATCTAATAGGATTTTGAGAGAATCAAGTGAGAATGTCTGAAAAGGACTCATGTGAGTGCCTGGCACCTAGACATTAAGTAAATTACTCCCCTCCCCTATGTTGGAGGGCTGGAGGCCCAACTGGTGGCAGGAGCCTCTCTGCCCTCAGGCTTAGCAGCTTAGTGGTAAGATAATCAACCCTAGATGTCTTAAGAATGACCTTATTCCTGTTTGCAAGAAGACTAGGAAATACTGAATTTTCTGCTGATTTGTATGAAGCCAAACGGTAATCTTGCTAAATATGGTTTTTGCCCACCTAGGTCAGAGGCTATGTCAAGAAAGCTCTTTCCGAAGGTGCCCGAATTCAGTGCGGGGAGGGCGTGGATAAGTTGTGCCTCCCCGCCAGGAATCAGGCAGGCTACTTTATGCTTCCCACGGTGATAACAGACATTAAGGATGAATCCTGCTGCATGAAGGAAGAGATATTTGGTCCAGTGACGTGTGTCACCCCCTTCGATAGCGAAGAGGAAGTGATTCACAGAGCCAACGACGTTAAGTACGGGCTGGCAGCCGCGGTGTGGTCAAGAGACGTGGGGCGCGTCCACCGCGTGGCTAAGAAGCTGCAGGCGGGCTTGGTCTGGACCAACTGCTGGCTCATCAGAGAGCTGAACCTTCCCTTCGGGGGGATGAAGAGTTCTGGGATAGGTAGAGAAGGAGCTAAGGACTCTTACGACTTCTTCACTGAAATCAAAACCATCACCGTTAAACACTGACTTTTGCCAAGGTGAAGCCCTTATGGTCAACGTCTGGCTGCAGAGATCGGTTGCCCAGTGTGGTGAACTGAAATACTGGCATGAATTCCAGCCACGTTGTGACTTGGCAGAAGCTTGTCTCCAGCCTATCCTTAATTCTTAGTAATTTTACCCACTGGTGAAGAGGTGCTGCCTATGTTCAATATGGACTCAGAAGAAAAGACTTCTCAATAGGAAGGCACAACAAGGAAGCCAAACAA